GCTGGCGCGCAGCTTGCCCTCCACGCGCTGCACACCGCCGCGGTTCCGCCCGCCGCCCTTCGACGGGTCCTGCTCTGCCGCCGCCGCCATCATCGCCGCCGCCATCACTGCGGGGGAGAGACGCGGCGCCGACACTCGCGGGCCCCTCGCTGCCCGGCTTCCGCCAGCCCCGCCCACCAGGACGGCGGCCCGCGAGGCTCAACGCCCGCCGCTACGCGAGAACGGGCCGCCACCACGTGACTGCCGCGTGGGGCAGGCGGGGTTCTCAGGGCCTCTGCCTGCAGAGCCTGTAGCCGCTTGGGGGGAGTTTGTGGCTGTCTGCAAATGGGGGGGGGCGGTCATTGAGCTGCTTTTCAGCCCACAAGTGTCAGGCTTGGATAAGCAGAGTGCCTCCGCCCTGGCCGGGCCTGGGGTCTGGCTGGAGCTCAGCTCACAGCAGTGGGAACAAATTAAAGCATTGTAAAACCCGAGTTGGTTTAATAAAAGAGATCACCGTCCCTGCCAGGAGTCTTGATGGCTTTTAAGAAATTCAACCCACCCCTGCCCCAGACACACGTAATGAATCTCAGGTCTTGCCAAGTTCATGGGATGAGCCCAGCAGCTGCCAAGGGAGACCAAAATAGGAAACCAGGAGGGTTGTGTCCCCCCTACCCCTCACCCTCTTTAAAAGATTGGGTTGCGGGGGGGTGGAGGGGGGGAATTTCAGGCTGTTTTGTTCATCAAAGAGCAAGAACCTCATTTCTTCCTTTGCAGGTTAGCTTTAAAGAATACCAGAAAAATGTTTTGACGATGATTCAGGACTCATAGTAGAGATGAGATCTTTTATGAGACCACCAAGATTTTTGCAAAAAAAGTCTCTAATTGCAAGCTTTCCAGCAAAGACACCTGTCATCAGGCATCGGAGAAAAGATGGTAAAAGCTTTCCTGGGTAGAAATGAAAGCTCCCGTTTCATAGGATTTCACAGAGGCACCAATAGATGGAAAATTCCTCTGGGCAGGCAGTTCATAGGTGGTAAGGAGCGTCTCACCTCCTGCAAGGATGCAAATGACCTTGAAACAAGGTCATTTGCATCATCTAATTTATAGTCATTAGATTTCCAACAAAGCTGATTTTGGAGTGTGAGCAGAAAAGTGATCCTGGCGCCAGGGTGCAGTCGACTCCTGGACCAACTCTAGGAGCATCCTAAAATGTGCCCCTCTGTAACCCACCCCAGCTTTTATACCGAGCCCTGCTTTTTGCTCAATGTTCTGTAAATACTTTAGTGCGCGCACCAGCTCTTCCAGCTTAATTACGTACCTCTCTGTTGAGTCTCAAGCTGTGATTTAAGAATGTTCCAGCCAGGGAAAAGAGGTGGGTGGCAACACAACAAAACACAAGCCTTGCTGAAATCGCATGGCATGTGGCTACAGCAGTTGGCTGCCCTTGCATCTTAGAAAGAGCTGCTGATCTGAGTAGTTTAACAAAGCATCTCCCTCCCATGTTCTTTTCTTTCTTAAAAGGCTCCAACTCCTTTATGCCACAAGAGGGCAATTGCTTCACAAAAACATTTGTGCAAGGAAAACAAAATGAAGTTTGGGGAGGTTTTGGCTCCGTTCTTTTGAAAGGAACAGTAGGTAGCACATATTTATGCATTTTAAATTTCACTGTGCTATGTTTAGGAGTCACACAAAGGACAAGTTCAAATAGGTCTTTTCCAGCTCAAGCAGCAGCTTTATCATTGCTCAGCACTCCTAGGCATTAAGTTTACTTATGACACTTACTGTGATATGGCAGAAGGTGAGTACACATACCGGACAGACAAAAGCTAAGGCTTGGCTGGAAAAGAGATCAAGTACGTTAGCTAGAATAGACCAGTGGGATGGAGACAAGCTCCATATTTTTTGGTTGCCAACGCGTGAACCTTTTGATATTGCATGTACATACACAATTATCTTCACTAACATGTAGCTGTGGAGGAAAGAATCCAATCCCTTTGCCCATTGGTCCGCAAGAGAAAGTGAAGTCAGATGTAGCAACTGTAGTTACAGGCTATTTTAAGATGCATTTGTTAGCACTGCGTATACTATTGCCAGACAACATGGAAACCCTGTTAATTTTCAAAGGTTATTAGAGCATGGAGTACAACTTCTTGTTTTGTAATGGACAACCACTTATGAGAATAGTGCCCTTCCATGTGGGTAAGTGCCAGTGTACAATTGGATTAGGCTTACTGTGGCATAGTTTCAGCAACTTCATGGTTTTCCTTACTTGAACTCTCAGCCAACCCTTAGAAAGGCATCCTTTCATTGTATAACACCTGGTGCATTTTAACTGGAATACAGAGGAGGAGAAAGACAAAAGGTGGAATTGTGAGTAGATGAAGCTTTGTCTATACCATACATCCTACATTGTTTAACAGCCTGAGGAATAGGTTTACCAAGGGCTGGGGTTATCCTAAATCCTGCTGTTTCCAGGAAGAGGTGGTAGTCGTGGTAGCATCATGTTTTATGCACAAGTGCTCCGATACAATTCTCTCCTCCCCTTGAAAAGACTTTAAAAATTCGCCTCTCTCACCTCCCAGGCGGCCTTCAGTTGCTGCACTATATAAGCTCTTCTGGGTGAAGAAAATGATACATTAGGATTCACAAAACAGACACGTCTCTGGGAAGCTAAAAAAAAAAAAGGTGTAGGCATAAGTTTTGACAGGCACTAAGCTGCTCAGTGCTAAAATGCTTCTGGACATGCACAGCAGCAGATTTTTAGGTGCCTACAGAGCTAGGCTGGATTTTAGAAAGTGGTG